AACGCGCCAGGTTCCGAAACAACAGGCCATGTGTGAAAACACCCTGAATGAGATTTCGGCAACAGTTAAGTAGATAGATGCTCATTTTGATTTCATGTTTTCTTGAAGTATCTAATTCAATATAACTAAAAAGATTTTCCTGTACCGAGACTTCCTCCACCACACGCTTGGAGAATGCGGCGAGCTCTACTTTTGGCATCTTCTGGAAATTTGCTGTCTTCAAGAAGATCTGGATAAGAGCACAATGCCAAGACCTGACAAATAAATGGAGCATACGTATAGTATGTACAAGAACTACTGCTCAAAATATAGCATGAGATGCAAAATATCTCGTAAACACACCTGTCTGAAGAAGGTGATGGGTTTCTGGCCCATAGCATGGCAGTCACCGATGTTGGCTTTAATGACCTCTGTGAACGGCTTCTTTATTCCCTACATTGATGGAGCAGTTAATGAGAAAGTAGGAAAGGTAGGAAAACAAACAGAATTAAAGAAAGAAAGAAATAGGAAAAAGAACAAAAAATGTATAACTGGGCTTCTTAAATAATTTGAGAATTTTCATCCAACTATTCCTTAAAAGAGCTCATTTTATTTTTTTCACCAATTTCTGTAAATAAGTAAATTAGACAAATTTGCATAAAAGGAGGGTTACAAAAATTAGTAAACCCTTGATTAAATTCAACAAACGCATAGTATTGTTTTATGTAGTATGTTCTCCATAACTTTAAGTACTGTATACTGCTCTGACCCTTTAGGGTACAAGTACAAGTGTACAAGTTCACAGCAAATTGTCACATCTCCTGGAGGTCAACCTCCTTGAGTACCCTGATGTTTCATGGAGGGTGTTGCTCAACTTGTCTCCACAAAATTCCCTCACAGGTGCTCAACTGTGATTAGGTCAGGTGAAATACTTGTCTAAAGCAGGATTTTCACCTTGAGCCACTGTCATGTTGAAAAAGTACCTAACAACTTTAAGACCCAATTTACTTAAAGTGAAATCAAAGACCGAAATTATGTGATGCCATTTCGAAATAGCATGCCAAACTTTCTAGAAAAGTTCACTCTGGCTGGTAAACACCTTTCAGTCTACACCTTAAATGTCTACCACCTGTAAACAGAAAATGTCTGGACAGTTCCACAGGTGCATGTGCAATAATTCTATATCGTTTAAACCCTTTCTAATAAAATCTATAAAGCTTATTTGGATTTTATAAAAATGTTAATAAAAATGCAGTATTCCAAAAAAGGGACAGTATCCATAACAATATCATAAAAGAATATTAAAATATGTTGAAAAGTTTTCATGGGAAGCCTATGCTCAAGTACTGATAAAAGGCTAGAAATGCTCCTGGCTGCAACACTCTCTTCATACTGCAGTTTATGGCACTGTTGTTACTGGGGGAAGAGTTTTGAAGTACTTCCACTTTTGGATACACAATATTTTAGAAAAATTTATATTTTA